TGACAATGGACAACCTTGTCTAGTCCCCTTCTCTATTGCAAACACCTCTGACAAACCCCCATTAACTATAAGTTGTGCCGTTTGCTTTTGATAAATAGCACCAAAAGCTTGTAAAAATTTTTCTCCAAAATTCATTTTCTCAATTAATCTTAACATGAATTGCCAATTCAGCTGGTCAAAAGCTTTTTCAGCATCTAAAAATATCAATCCTGCAGAAACTTGATTGTTTTTATCTAAATATTCTAATAAGTTAATAATCTGTCTGACATTATTCTTCATATACCTTCCAGTTATAAAACCCGTTTGGTCCATATGTATTACATGATGCAAAACCCTCATAAGCCTGTTAGCTAAAATTTTTGAAAAAATCTTGTAGTCTACATTTAAGAGAGATATAGGTCTATAATTCTTTGGTAAAGTGAGATCTTGATCTTCTTTTGGAATCAAAGATATAAAAGCTCTACCCCATGACGGGGGAATCTCTGAACCCTGTAATATATTATTAAAAAGCTCACTTAACTTTGAATCATCTCTTGTACCAATGTTTTGTAATAAATAGATGTCAAACCGTCCATACCCGGTGCCTTACCTAATTTTAATTCTTTAATTACTGTCTCAATCTCCCCACTAGTAATCAAACCATTAATTTCTTGTTTCTGATCTTCTGTTAATTTAGGAAAGTTGGCTTCATTTAAATAATTATCTATATCTAAAACCTGTACTTCAGTACTCATATATAATTTTTGGTAATAATCTAAAAAGGATTTCTTAATCAACTCCTTCTGATATACCAATTTACCATTATAATTTATTTTATCTATAATTCTGTCTGCTTCTTTCTCAATTGATAAGCCAACCATCTCCCTGGTTTATTAGCATTACAAAATGTGTTTTGTTTCATATACAGTAAGTTAGTTGCAGTTTGATCAGCCATCAACATATTAAATTGTGATTTAAGCAATTTTATGGATTCCTTAGCCCTCTCGTCTGTAGGATTTAAAATCAAAGCTTTTTCTTTTAGTTTAATTTCATTTTCCAACTCCTTGCGTTTCTGCATCTGCTTCTGTCTATAAACATTGTTCATTTGTATCAAAAACCCCCGCATATAGGCTTTACCTGCATCCCACACCATTGACATTGAAGTTCCCTTATACATATTTAAAGCAAAATAATCCTTTAATTGCTCCTTTAACTTTTGAACATTCTTTTCTTGTCTAAATAAATTTTCATTCATCCTCCACGATCTCCTCTCCTCTTTTTCATCAACCAATTCCATCCAAACTGGACTGTGATCCATCAATGTCCTGGGAAAAATTTTAACATTCTTTACCCTAAAATATAAATCCGTCGTAATCAAAATAAAATCAATTCTTGAAAAAGATTGATGTCTATCCAAAAAAAAAAATGAAATCTCTCTCCTCCAAGTTATGTTCACGCCAATAATCTCGCAGCTCCCAGTCCTCTTTCAAATCAAAAAAAGCTTTAGGTAGTTTAGCCTGTTTAAAAGAAATAGAGGATCCTTTTTTATCTCTTTGTGTATCTAACACACCATTCCAATCTCCCATTAGTATAACAGATCTGTAATCCAACAAAGTTAATTTTTGATGTAACAGTCTGTAAAATTGTTCCTGTTGTTGATTTGGTGCATACAGTCCCACTATAAGTACTTTCTTACCATACAAGCCCACTTCAGTCAAAACATATCTCCCTTGAGGATCAGATTCTACAAAACAGGCTGATAAATTTTGCTTAACATAAATAACTACTCCCCCTTTTTTTCCAGGAGCAAAAGATACAAAATGAGATCCCAGAAGAGCATTAACAGAATATTTTTGATCTTTAGATATAATATGTGTTTCCTGCAAGCAAATAATATCATTATTATGTTGCTTTAAATAATGAAAAATTTTCTTTCTCTTTTGAGGGGAATTGAGGCCATTAGCATTCCATGTCAGGAGCTTTACCATCTCCCTTAACCAGAAGCCTGGAGAAGACTGCTTGAAGATCTGCCATTGAAGAATGTGCTGCAGAGCTCCTAGGTCTTGCTCCTCCCACAGGCACCGAAACAACTCCTTGAAGAACTTCTTTAACTTCTTTCTTCTGTTGTTCCTTTTCCTTACGTCTATGTGCTGCGCGAGTCATTCTTTGCTCTTTAATCTCTGCTTGTTGCAGCCACTCTGCCTGTGACTTTCCAACATCCATCAATACTACTTCTTCAGACTGCTGTTCCACCTCTTTGCCATCCAAGACTTTCTGCATCATAAGTGGTGGTGAACCTGCTCCCAGGACCGACTTGTAAAACTCCTTTGCTTTAGGAACTGTCTATAACGCATCCCCGCATGGCTCACAACAATACCCATCGGAATCTCCCATCTAAATGGCATCAATCTTTTTTTAAGTTCATTAGCTAAGAAAGCAAACTCTTTTCTCCTTCTTAAAATTTGGGATGGGATCTCCTTTAAAATAATAACATCTTGAGCAGCAATCTGAAACCTCTTGTTGTAAAAAGCTTGTATAATTTCATTACGCAGAGATCTCTTTCCAAAATAAATCACCACATCTCTTGGTAAATTTCTTTGTTTTGCAATCCAGGAGTTAACTCTAAATATCTTTTCAACTTCTCTGAGTATTTCCTCTTTCTCTCTATTCAAAATAGCAGCAAAGTCATTTACCACAATCTCTCTCAAGTCTTGCTGCATGTCTTCTTTCAGGCCTCTGATTCTTAAAGCATATTCCATCTCTCTGTACTGAGACATAACAATGTCATCTTGTGAAATTTCCATCTTTTTTTCCATGCCTTCAAATTTGTCTTCCAGAATATCCACCTTATCTGCCACCTCTTCCACTCTAGAATCCAACTTCTCTACCACAGAAGCAAGTCCTGTTAAGGCCATAACTATATCTTGCCTCAAGATAGTATTATTCTGCTCTAAAAGCTCCTTCATTTCCCCTCTAATCTGAGTATTATTCTGCTCTAAAAGCTCCTTCATTTCCCCTCTGATTTGAGCTACAGCATTTCCCATTATATCTTTCATATCTTGTACCGTTATTGCTGGCAAAGGAGGAGAGGGTGGTGGTGTAGCTTTAGGTTGTGTGCCAGTAAGATCGCAGGAGAAGAAGCCACCTTAGGTACTGTAGAAGTTGCTTGCTTCTTTGAAGCCATTTTAAAAAAGAAAAAAAATCTTATTTCTTCTTTCCTCCTTCTTTAAAAAAAATAAAAAAAAATAAAAAGTCCCTTAAAAAAGAAAAAAAAATAACAAAGGAGAGTTTAACAAAAAAAAAATTCTTCCCAAAGCACAAATCCACCTTAAAAAAAAGTTTAGGGAGAAAAAAAAATCCTCTAATCCATAACATTCCGTTTCACTCAATTTTTTTCAAAAAAAAAAAAAAAAACTTTCCAATCGCCATTTTACTTTCACTCTCAGCACAAGAAAAAACGAAGAAAAAAAGAGAAAAAGAAAAGAAATAAAAGTCAATCTTTCAAACTAAAGTCCAAATGAAATCCAGTAAAAAAATCCTTTATCCAACTCTGTCCGCTTTTTTTAAAAATAACTCACCTGGTCCCTTTAAGCGCGGAGGTGGTAGCGGCGTTTTGCTTTGTTCCTGAAGGAACAAAGACAGCTGGGAGGCGGAGGCAACCCGAACTCCGAGGGATCTCTCTTTTCACCCCCCAGGGAAAAATTCCTGGGGGGTTCAAGAGGCTCTACCTCTATTCAGGTGATACTCCCCTCCCCCCCTTCGCCCGGGAGGGAGGTTTTGAGCCGCGGAACAGCTGGTGCCTGCTGTTCTCCGCGGTTCTCACGCTTTCCCAGGAGGACGGCTACAAAGTAGCCGCCATCACCGACACTAAACCACCGGAAGTCCCATCTAATTTGTCTCTTGAGAAACCTATATGCGGGTCAAGAAGCAACAGTGAGAACTGGACACGGAACCACTGATTGGTTCAAAATTGGAAAAGGAGTCCGGCAAGGCTGTATACTGTCGCCCTGCCTATTTAACTTATATGCAGAGCACATCATGAGAAAGGCAGGGCTAGATGAAACAAAAGTTGGAATTAAGATTGCCGGGAGAAATATCAACAACCTAAGATATGCAGATGATACCACGCTAATGGCAGAAAGTGAAGAGGAACTAAAGAGCCTCTTGATGCGGGTGAAGAAGGAGAGTGCAAAAGTTGGCTTGAAACTCAACATTAAGAAAACCAAAATCATGGCATCCGGCCCTCTCAATTCCTGGCAAATAGATGGGGAAGAAATGGAGGTAGTGACAGATTTTATTTTTCTGGGCTCCAAGATCACCTCAGGTGGGGACTGCAGCCAAGAAAATTAAAATACGCTTGCTCCTGGGGAGGAAAGCTATGGCAAATCTAGACAGCATACTAAAAAGCAGAGACATCACCCTGCCAACAAAAGTGGTATAGTCCAGGCCATGGTTTTTCCAGTTGCAATGTATGGCTGTGAAAGTTGGACCATAAGAAAGGCTGAGCGCCAAAGAATTGAGGCCTTTGAACTATGGTGCTGGAGAAGACTCCTGCGAGTCCCTTGGACTGCAAGGCGTTCAAACCGGTCAGTCCTAGAAGAGATCAACCCCGACTGCTCTTTAGAAGGCCAGATCCTGAAGTTGAAACTCAAGTACTTTGGCCACCTAATGAGAAGGAAGGATTCACTGGAGAAGAGCCTAATGCTGGGAAAGATTGAGGGCAATAGAAGAAGGGGACGACAGAGAATGAGATGGCTGGATGGAGTCACTGAAGCAGTAGGTGTGAACTTAAATGGACTCCAGAAGATGGTAGAGAACAGGAAGACCTGGAGGAACATTGTCCATGGGGTCGCGATGGGTCGGACACGACTTCGCAATTAACAATAACACTATGAAACCCTGAAAAATCTATGCAAATATGAAGTATTGTAATAAGCTTCATTACATTACATTTCAGCAGCCAATAGTTTTATTCTACTTGAAGCATATTAAAAAGTTATTACATGTTAGAATAAAATTACCTTTTTGATTTCATCTTCAAATGCCTTTTCCAAATATTTATATCTCCTGATCAGCTTATTGAAGACCTAAACATAAAAAATAAACATTTCACAAATACAAACTAATTATACTACTGTCATCTATAAAAAAGTTTACAAATAATGATAAAACTAAAATGCAGATTAAATATATATTCATTAATTTACTTATTTATTAAATCATCTAAATACACAGGCAGATGTTTAATGCTATCCTTACTGTTCTGCAGTTTATTTTTTATAGTCAATTCATTTTTGTGATAGCAAACTAACATGTAATACAGTGAGTAAAGCAGAAAGCAGCAACATAAATCAATATTTGCCATTCTTAAATTAAGCAATTTATTATTCCATTGATTATTATTTATCATAATAAAATACACTTTTATCAGATATTATCAAAAATAAACCACTAAATTAGTAGTTAAATTCATTTATAGTCATTTATTAACTCAAGCTGAATTTTGAAGGAGGATTCAAATCAGTCAATTTACTGTTAAAACAAAGTTGAAGTTTCTTTATTTCAAAGAAAGGGATAACTTAAATTACCAGCATTAGCTGGCTCATCAGGTAACATAATCTAGCCATATAGATTTAGCCATATAGTTGTAGCTTCCTGAATTAAATGATCTCACACTGGAGACTACATTTGAAAATGCTTTAGTTAATAAAAAACATAACTTCTAGAAAGTTAGCTGAAGTGGTTGAATGGAATTACAGATTGACCTCAATTGATAATAAGGCACTTAAGCGACACCATTCAAAGTTATGATACCCCCCAAAAAAGGTACTTACAGCCGCTTTCCAATTTACGGTCACTGTAGTCCCCTTATGGTAGTTTATCCTTATGACAGATTGCAAGAAAACTGCAGCGTCCCCCATCTCTCTCACATATCCCACAGGGTTCACCTAACCTAACCTAATCAATCTGGCAATCCACTTGGGTTCAGTTTGAAGAATAGATGACCGTTATGACCAGGAGGCTTTTGCAGAATTATATCTGGTTCACCAGTTAGGACCTTTTCTGGAATAGGAGACCCTACTTACAGTTGTTGTGAGCTGCCTAGAGTTGCTTAAGATGGGCAGCTATATAAATCTTTTAATAAATGATATCTTATTCACCTTTGATTACTACAACTCATTCTATTTGTATCTTTTATGAATACCATCCAAAAGCTTTACCTAGTTTAAAATTCATCAGCTTAAGTACTGATTGTAAATCAAAATTCTACTTCAAGAACTACATTGCCAGCTTGCTTTTATATTCAATTCAAGGTTCTTTGCCATCGTTATAGCCCTAGATAACTTAGGGCTATACTATATAATAATATAATTATTATCTATGGAACCCTTTACTCCCAATGGCTTCTATCCAACCAGTAAGATTAGGAAGACTGACTTTGTGGTCTCTTCTCTAGAAATTATCATTTATAGGGGTCACAGGATCCAGACTTCTTGCAAGTTGCAGAATCAGACTAGCTTTCACCCTGTTCAGATTCATGAAAGCTAATAAAAATGGATTAGAAGTAGAATTAATATGGGTAGCAAACTTCCTTTATGGATTGTGCTTTGTTATCTGACTGCATCACAAATGCTGAAATCTTTTTTAATTTCAGTTGTAATACTAATAGTCTTTTAGCTGGGATGATGGTGATGATGATTGGACTGGAAAGCAATTATACTGTTGATGCTATTGAACTATTTATTTAATTATTTATTTTGCTATTCATGTACACATTTATTAAAGCATAAAGCTTCAAAATAAAAACTACGATCTATTTATCAACTGTCTCAATGTTTTTGACTGAACCTGAGCATAGTGTCGGAGAGCATCATGATCTTCATCTGCAGAAAACACACACTGGTTTGTCATCTTGGTCTTATCATGATCATCTATTCTTGTCCCACCTGGAGCTGAAACGGCACATTCAAAATAATCACACAATTAAATCTTATATTATCCACATGGGAAAAAGAGATAGTATTCATTTTATATATACATATAAAAATATACACACATACATACACACACATTTATTTATGTAGTACCGTATATTCCGGCGTATAAGATGACTTTTGAGAGCGATGAAACAGCCTCCGAACTCGGGGGTCGTCTTATACGCCGAGTCATAACGTTTATTTATTTATTTATTATTTCCGGCGTATAAGATGACGTTCTAGGCATGCGACTCGGTGTCGATCATCTTATACGCCGGAAATGACGTTATTTCCGGCGTATAAGATGATCGACGCCGAGTCGCATGCCTAGAAAGTCGTCTTATATGCGACTCGGCGTCGATCGTCTTGCGACCCGGCGTCGCACTCGGGGGTCGTCTTATACGCCGGGTCGCCTAATACGCCGGCATATACGGTATATGTGTTCAGAACACAGACATTTGCCATATGAAATATTATTACAAAAAGTTTTCAACCATGTAACTACGACATATGAATATCAAAAGTTATAATGACACTGCCTATAATGCAGACTCTAGTTTTATCTTCTATACTCAATACTACTTCACATATTTACAGTAATCATAGAAAACCAAAATTTCTAAAACAAACTTAAGATATACACCACACAAAAAAGAATTAGTTAGGAACAGTTCTTTAACTCTATGGCTAACAGAATCAAGAAGACATGTGGCTAGAACTACTTTTGATGAAAGTGTTGAAGTTTTGTATGTGACATACATACCTAGCATACTGCCAGCTATCAAAATATCAAACAGAGTGTCAGCATAGCGTCGGTAATCTAGCCTTGAGCCCGTAGCATCCAGAAATTTGGCTACCGCTTCCAGGTCGTCACCAGCTTCATTAAGACCTTGGACAATTGTATCCCGAAAGACAGTAGGCTCAAATTTTTCCTTTTCATCTGTAATAGAAAAGTAGTACTAATCAGTTTACACAATTTATTGCTTATCTATATTGACCATAAAGTATTCTTTTCCCATTGTAAGCATATGCTTATTATGCTTATTAATGCACAACTATGCTTATTAATGCTCTAGACCACTATACCACTGAGAATGCTACTTACATTGTGTTCCATTTCCTGCTATTTGTCTCTGTTACCATTAGTTTTAACTCAAATGCTTTTAGATTTATCTTATTATAGAATTCCAAAGCAATATCATACTGATTTTGCATACTTTCAAATTAATGATACAAAGAGAAATTGTGATTTTTTTTTTTTTTACTGAATCAACTTCTTAAGATATACTGGAAGAGTAATTAACATTTTAGATGACAGCATTCTTTCTCTACCAGTGTACTTGTACAATAATAGCATTAAATAAACTTAGCAATTACTATAAAACCTCTCAGATGGTTAGTCATACCAATTTTATATCTGAAGTTTTTTTTCTTCATATCAAGTACATATCAGATTAGGAACATACCTTCTGTTTCTATATAAAAGATATAAAATCTCTTATGTTTCAAAGGAATTATATTTAACATTATGTTTATTGAAACAGGACAATATTACTAAAATTTGAAATTAGTTGATTTTAATGTGTGATAATTTATATAGTTTTGCATAGAATGGGCAGCTATATAAATGTTTTAAATAAATCAATAAATATGCTACAGTAAATCATAATGTGCTTTGTTTTAACCAAACATAATACATAAGCAAACTTTTATGGTTTCCAACTTATTCAATGCTATGTGATCCCAGCAGTTGTTTCAATATATACCATTAAAGCAAATCATTACTTCATTATTTTGTATTTTGTTTGAAGAAAGAAATAAAACATAAAATACTGTATAATGTACTATTTCAGTACTACTACGATAAATTGTTAAGCCTACCCCTCTTTCTTGTTTTGAACCGCTGGCCTGTTAGAACCGGCTTCTGGGGCTTATTCATAAAATTTCTGGAATACAAATTTTAAATATAATTTTAAAACAGAAATATTTTAAATCAAAAGACCATTAAATATTACACTGAAAGTACAAATGATTGTATCACTGCATCTCTCAACTCAGCCCACCTCACAGGGTTGTTGTGGGAAAATAGGAGGAAGATAATGTATTGGATATGTTTCTGCCTTGGGTTGTTTGTAAAAATAAAACAGGATACAAACAAACAAAATAAACTTTGATTTAGGAAAATGACTGACAAAAGGCCACAACTGTTGCAGTAGAAAGACTAAATTACTTTGATTTAATGCTTTCACATTGTTTGTGGATGGCTACACTGATTCTACATGCAGTTTAATGGGGAATCATCCCAAGTCCAATTCTGCATTCCACATACACATACACTGTTTTCTTCATTATGTTCATCATTCTCATGTCTTAATATGTTCTTAATTATTCTTCCTGAGTAACCAGAGTCAGGGAAAAGAAAACACTAAAAATAATCATTAGAAATAAATCCTAAAAGTGAAATGGAAACAAACACCTTAAAAAATAACTAGGAGAAGAAGCCAGACTTATCACCTGTAGTGGACTTAACAGTTTCATTGCAAAGCAGAAGTACCATTCCAGAGATTATTTTTATTTAACATCTATATTTAGCTGTAAAATGCATCACACTATAATCTGCTTTAAACCAGGCTCTGTGATATAGCTACTAAAACGCTAAAACCAATCCTGCTGAAAGAGCAGCCAAATAAATTTAATTATAACTAGAGATCAAAGGAATAGTACAACGTAAGTGGGGAAGGCATTGCTGGATTGATGGAGCCTCACTTAGCTGTGAAAATCACATAACAATAAAGACACATTCAGTTTATTGCAGGAATAAAATGAAGAGTATTAATAAGTCAGATTTGTCAATCTGAAAGATTTGGAAAGTCAAGGCAGGGTGAAGAAAAGTGTATTTTGTAACCATTATTGGTGTACAAAAGTAATTCCAAGACAAGTAGGAACAGAAAAAGGGACTCAAAACTGAACTGAATTGAATATTTTCCTTGGCCAAGTGTGATCAGACACACAAGGAATTTGTCTCTGGTGCAGAAACTCTGGGCATACATGCAAAGCAACAGAATAATGATAATGTTAATAATAATAAAACCAGTAAGAGGGGGAAATAAGAAATACAACAACAACACTATAGCCATACTACATGGGTAAATACACATATACATATACACACAAATACACATTAGACAACACTGTGAGAATTAGTTCTTCAGCAGAGTGATGGTCCAATGCAAAAAAACTTGTCCCTGTGTTGATTTGGCCTACAATAGCGCTTTCCCACTGGGAGACATTGAAAGAGTTTATGTCCAGGATGTTAGGTGTCTATAGATACCTTTTCAACCCTCCCTCTGGCGGGTGCAATGTACAGATCTTCTATGGAAGGCAGAATTACCTTTAGACTTTAGAAAATTTAATATTTTTTTTTTTTTTGCTTTCAGGGGTTACTATCTACAATTAACTGATTTGCTATAACATTTTAAATATTTGCTGGGAGCTGTCAACATATTGCAAAGCATCTTACTCTTCATTTGAAGGTACACTACTTCACTACTTGAAACAGTGAAGCTGAATACCTGGTTCTTGCTTCAGGTGAATGGATGGTGTCTTTAATTTACACAGAGGAAGATTATTTGATTTTTTTTCAATAAGGTTATCTTCATTTGCTAATTTTTAGTTGGTGAAATATGCTAAATCTTCTGGAACTCACATTTAAAAGCCACTGGTATAAAATAAAACTTGGAAATAATGAACAATGGAATTATACACTTTGATTATTATTTTAAATACAGAGCCTCAAAGATTGCATTTATATATTGCCTAAAATACGATTTAATCATACAGCAAATTCTTGAATAAAACATTATAATATACTAAAACAAACCAAATAAAATAAAAACACATTGTGGCTGAAAGTTCTTAGTAAATACATTTAGGATTACATTGTGAATTCAAAATGAACAGACACTGGCATTTAATAGTTTAATTTTTATTGCAGTGCATAATACAAACTTCCTTAGCACATTGCTCAAAACGTGAAATAACAACCAAACAGCAGTCCAGATGATATGAAAAAAATTTAAAAAGTTCAAAGTGTAGCACCCAATATATTGCAAAAGAGCAATAAATGTTCAAAGTCAAACAGAAATACAATGAAGTACAGAAGTACAGAAGCAGAGCATGAACAGAGTATAGGGAAGGAAAAGAAACAGAAAAATATTTCTATTTACATGCTGGAATATGATTTAATGAGAGAGACATGAATGAAATAAGTGGTTAAAGACTGAAGAAAGCAAAGACAATAGGAAGCACTAAACAGAATTTCATTTTTAAATGTCTCAAAGTGGCATTTAATGTCATGAATAATTATGGGAGCAGTATTTTAATACAAGCATCTCCGATAAAATACGATCACTTAAAATTTTATTCTTCTGTTATTCTTCTGTTAATAAATGAAAAATCGTACTTTGGCAGCATTCTCTGTCTAACTAGGTTTGCAAAGCCTTCTTACAAACTACCTGGCTTTGCCAATTGGCTTGGGTCCCTGATAGGGGTGTGTTATGTTGTGGGTGGCTGATGGGGTACAGAAGATCCACATCCTCTTGTTACCCACCCTCTTGATTTCTAGCTATTTAATTTTCCTAATTTAAATCATTTTGAATTATGTTTACTTTTTTGTTCTAATATATGCTGTCCAGGGTTACCGTTAAAGGGAGCATCTCTGGTGAAGGGATTAAATGCATTTACAGTTACTTTTATTTTTAAAAATGAGAATGTGTAATTTATTTTCTCCCTTTTACAGAACAGAGTAAATGCCCCCTTGTACGTTCATACTTATTTTCAAGCTAATTTGATCCAGCTAATGGTGGTGATGGTGATGGTTTAGGAGTGGGGAAACCCTAAATTTTAGACTTTACAGATAGTCCTCGACTTACAACCACAATTGAGCCTCAAATTTATGTTGCTAAATGAGAAATTTATTAAGTGAGTTTTGCTCCATTTTATGACTTTTCTTGCTACATTTTTTAAGTGAATCACTGCACTTGTTAATAACACGGTTGTTAAATGAATCTGGCTTCCCCATTGATTTTGCTTGTTGCAGGGTTGCAAAAGGCAATCACCGTCATAAATAGGAAGCAGTTGTCAAGCTTCCAAATGTAAATCACATGACCATGAGGATGCTGTAATGGTCATGTGTGAAAAATGGTCATAAGTCACTTTTTTCAGGCCCACTGTAATTTCAAATGGTCATTAAATGAACTGTTGTAAGTTGAGGACTACCTGTATTTATTACATTTATATATTTATTAAATTCATTCATAACCTATCTTCATGTCCTGTGACCTATTTTTAAAACTTTTAAAAATATAAAACTTTGTTTTTATTTTGTACATGACAGTACCCAGCTGAAGAAAGTAGTTGGTTTCATAACAAGATCATTTATTTGTTTTAGAGAAGGCAAAGACACATCCCTTGGATGTAGGATATATAAAAAAAAACAGAAATGAAAAACAGAAGAGAACGTGTATATTTCAGCTACTGCAGGATATGCTGCTGACAGGGTGTCACCTGATTAACATGGAATGGAATAGAAAAATGAGCCAGACTGCCAAGTCTAGGGTTTCCAGCCCTGGCACAAGAATCCTGAATTGGCTTGTCAGACCAGAAGGCAGACTGCACTCTGAGTATGGAGATTCAGATACTGAACAGTGGAACATTATTTAATTAAAGGCTGCGTTTGGCAGCTGGAAGATAACTCATATGCATTCCAGTATAAGGAATTATGAAGAGGAAAATAATCCTTGATAAATTGTAAGCAGAAAGTAAGAATAAGAGAGGTAAGAAAATTAAACAGGTTAAAACATGGCATTATACTTCTTATCCTATTCTGTATGTTTATAAAAAAAACATACTGGTTTTGTAAATAATATTTTCACCTATTAGAGCACAGTACTTCACTAGTATAGGTATCATAGTATCCGACTATTTATATTATCCATGCTCTAATATTCTATAACTCAAAATGTTGTACATAATGGTCCTTTCTTGTAGATCCCCCATAATAACTCTGTGGGCTGTGCTGAGAAAAAGTGACTGGCCCAGAGTTGGTTAGCTAGCTTTCACACCTAAGAAAGGATTAGAACACATGATCTCCCAATTTGTAGTCTAACACCTGAACTATTATACAAAACCAGCTGAATACAGGTAGCTCTTGACTTACAAAAGTTTATTTAGTGACCATTCGAAGTTAGAACAGCACTGATTGTTTTTACACGACCATTGCAGCAGTCCCATTGTCATGTGATCAAAATCTGATCACTTGGCAACTGATTCATATTTATGATGGTTGCAGTTTTCCAGTCATGGGAAAATATTTTGCTATCTTCTGACAAACAAAGTCAATGGGGAAGCCAGATTCACTTAACGTTATTTAATGTTACTAATTTAACAACTACAGTGATTTACTTAACAACTGTGGCAAGAAAGTTCATAAAATGGGGCAAAACTCATTTAATAACTGTATCATTTAGCAACAGAAATTTTGGGCTCAATTGTACTCATAGGTTGAGGCCTACTTGTAGTCTTGTTCTAGGCATTAAAGCCAGCTAGGTGACTTTGGCCAGTCCCTTTCTCTTAGACTTAGACCTTGGAAGAAGGCAATGGCAAATCACTTCTGAAAATCTTGCCAAGAAAACTTCAAGACAGTTGTCAGAAGATAATACTGACTTGAAGAAAGAGAAAATAAAACAGAACAGAACAGAAAATCCCTATTAGTGCATTCACATAAAATACTGTACCTAGTCTACAACTAATATTGAGCACAATTGCAATATCTGCTAATTAAAAAGAGAAATAAATTAGCTAGTCCCTAGTTGTATTATTCTTTGTTTCCAAACATGGTATTTTTATAGAAACTTTAAGATCAGCCGTATTTGTAACTGTTAAAGGC